GTTTATTGAAACACTTAAAATTCCTCAGAAGGAATTAAAATGGTTACACTAACTGCTAAAACACATATATAAAACATACAAAAATTACTGTCTAAAGCACGACAAGGGTTTTAAAAAAAAAAACAGGCTACAATTACAAAACAATTATTGATAGAGGTCTATGATGTAGGTAATAATATTGAAAAAAAAATAGATGAAATAATAATAATAAAAAGAAATAAGCAATTAACAGTAAATCAATGAAACATGGAAATGAGAAAACGTAATAAAGGAGAAAAGTATTTATATTAATTTGCTAGAACATGTTGCTGTCTAAGGTTCGTGTTATTTTTGATTAATAATTGGGCAACTGGTATTTGTACTTAGTAGATTCTTCAAATAGTGCCTTTCGAGATTTTTCGTAAAAGGGGCATTCAATCATGAAATGGTACTCATCTTCTACTTTCTTATTTAAACACAGTTCGCAGATTCTTTTTCCTATTTCGGTTTTTGGTTTGGTTATCTCCCTGTTTCAATTTTTAGTTTATGATTGCTCAGACGGGGCCTACTTAGACATTCACGTAGTTAGGCATTCTTTATTTTAATCACATACTTTTCTAAAGTAAATTCATTTTTGAAATTTTTGTACGTTCTGAGTTTATTCCTCAGCTCCTGAGAGCGAGGTTATTTGTAGTTATGTTGGCGCTTGCTGCTGTGTCTGCGGAAGTACTATGGAAGATTGCATGATGGGAGTGAACAGTCTTTTGATCAGTAAAATAATTTTAGAAAAGATAAAACTAAAGTGACTGTGAAATAAAGTTGGTTTTAAATATTAAATATCATGGAATCTGAATGAAATAATGAAAGGAAATTGAACTTGTATGAAAGCGCATTATATGTAGCTAGAATGCAAGGTCAGAATCCGGGGGTCAAAATACGTCACAATACATCCATCATAGTGGCTGTCAGCAACTATATAAGATAAGATAAGATAAATTTTATTTGGTATGGGAACATATAAAATGCCATGACCAAGAACAAGAGAGAAATAATTACATAACTACTAAACTAAAATAAACTAAAAAAGCTCTAAAATACTAAAAAACAAATTTGGCTAAGCCTGAATAGATAAATTTATCAGTACTTGAAACATTTCTGCAAATAAATTTGTCATCCCCTATGATTTCAAGATTTGGTGCATATGTAAATAAAGTTGTAAAAAAAAATCATTTCTAAAATAACTAATTTGACTATTATTACAATTAAAGATATAATGTAACTCATCCCCAATTTCATTTATTTGAACACTTTGTACAAAATCTGTTCTCTTTAGGAATACCTTTGTGCCTTCCTGTCTCTATAAGGTAATTTGTGTGCAGACAGGCGAAACTTAGTCATTGCCACTCTGTGTTTTGCAGATTTAATGTCACATAAATATTTCTCCATTGCATAGTCATTTTTAAATAAACTATATGTTTTTAATTTGTTATGTGCTATTTTATTGATTTCTTTATACCATTTGTCATAATAAATTTGCTTTAATTTTGTGTTGAACTGATTACCAAAACTTGGATTATTAATGTCAGCTGGTTTTAAATTAGTAATATCTAACAATTTTTTTAACAAATCAAAACCACTGACCAGTCTCTATTGAATTGCTTGTATTCCAAGCCCCATCTCCATCCCCATCTTTAACATCTCCACATCTAAATCTTTGATAGTATTTCATCATACTAGTACAAATATCAATGATAAGTGGGTATCTACCCAATTCACCCCTGCATGCCAAATTAGTTGCCTTTCTGTGAACTCCCAGAATCTGTTTACAGAACTTAACATGCATTTGTTCAAAAATTAATTTATCTGAAAACAAGGTATTAATGAATTTGTCATTTGCACTATTAATGTTGTATTTACTGATATCAAAGTTAAATGCTCCCCAGACATCAGAACCATACATGACAATAGGCTTTACAAGAGAATAAATAACTTGCATGCTAATTTAACAGAATGACAGTCTCTATAAACCTACAACATTTTATATATTTTAAATAATGCCCGTTGTGCCTTGGCTTGAAGTGCTGAAATTGCAACTTTGAATTTCCCATTACTCTCAAAAGTAATACCAAGATATTTGTATGTATCGACAATCTCAATTTGGTTACCATTTATATAAAATTGATATAAATCCTTTAATTTTTTCCCCTTAGAATTAAGGGGAAAATACATACATATATGTATGCGGTAAAAGACCGGATTTGCAGTTTGTGTGAATGGCCGGGGGAAAACAAATCATGCAAATATCAGTAACAGTATTTGCTGTTTTTTTTGTGCAATGGAAATTAATACAAGTGATGCTGCCAACCTTGGGACGTTTATCTTGATAAATTGAGAAGACGAAAATCTGTAGTAGTAGTTGTGAAACAATGAACATACTTCTCCAGGCCATGAAGGGTATTTTTGATTATTTGAAGAAGAAAACTGCTGCTTTATCGAAGAGCAAAGTTCAATGTCATTGGCCACAGTAATTCTAAATCGATGTTGGTTTTCAGAGACATTACTTGGTGTAGAAGTAATAACATTACGATGTTTTCGAGTTTTTCGTTTTACGCCTTGTACTAGCCAAGCCACGCCTTGATAATTTATCAATATACAAATGGGAGTGATGTATGGGGGAAAATTGCACCAAAATCATCAATTGAAGATGTACATATAAATTATCTTCTTTTTCTCTTAGGGACATCCAAAAACATCACAACAATGGGCTTTTTCATGGTAAAATTGGACGTTACCCATTGGAGACTTTTATCGGAAAACAAATGATAATATTTTAATCGTGCACAGATCTCGTCGAATCCATTATTAAAACAAGCTTTCCAAGAAAACAAAGAAATTAATAGTAAATGGTACACTAATATAGACTCCCTTTTGAATAACATCTACCAGTCTAACCTGGTCGAAACAATGACATTCTAATGACAAGCCTACCTTGTTACCCTGCAAAATATTGAGATGCGCAAAAATTTAACTAAATTCTGCCTCAGTGAATTGAGACTGGTAGACACAAAGGAATACCCCTTGCTAATAGATTATGCAACCTTTGTGATCAGAATCAAGTAAAAGATGAGACAAGTATCACCTATACCCCCCCAATTGAAATGTATTATTTGAAATGGCAAAAAACAGAATTTGTCACCAAAGACACAATTCATAGCATTGCTAAACAAAAGTGGTCCAACACTCCCTGTAGCAAGGCATCTAAAGAAGTGTTTTGAAATAAGACAACAACCCCAGCGACAATTTTCTTTCACCGTTAATTTTTGAATTTTGTTTTTCTATCTTTTTATAGTACTAGTATAATAATTTAGTCTTAATATTTTTCTCTCTGTATTATGCACAATGTGAAAGAGGGGTTTATTGTCAACATATATACGGGTGCTTGTATGCGTATTGAAACAAAATACAAAATTTGACTTATGTCACCAAACTATACAGCAAATCACAGATTTTCATTATTTATTGTTTATATTTTTTTCTAAATTTCAGTTTTTATTGTTCATAATTATTTACAGTAATAAAACAGTTTTCCGTTATTATGATTGTGTACATGACAGTTTTCCCCACACAATAAGACAGGATGATATGTATGGATACGTGTGAGTATGTTTCATGGGTTAATAGGCCACTTCTTTGCTTTAATTCCAACTATATCTCTGGAAATATCACTTGCTGTTTATCATCCATATTTCGATATCCCACAATGTCTAGTAATTCCAACTAACTACTATCTCGTAAAATTTGCCCAGTCTTGCTTCCACTCCCACATTGTCCTTAGCAGTGAAGGTTAATGCAGATATATTGTAAATTACACAGAGGTAACGCTACAATACATTTTCCTTTACATTTCCTCGATCTACGTCATTTTTACGTCACACAAGTACTTCATTGCTTACACTGATCTTCGTCATTTTTACGTCACAGAAGTACTCCATTGCCTACACCAATCTACGTCATTTTTATGTCACAGAAGTACTCCATTGCCTACACCAATCTATGTCATTTTTATGTCACAGAAGCACTTCATTGCTTACTGATTTCCAAACCACACGGAAAAGCTTGTCAAACTGATGCATCTTCAAGCTAGTTGTGGTAATTCCATCAGGTCTTCTGGTTTGTAGTTTGGCCAGCACATTTCCCATTTTTTTATGTTTGTTCCGCAAAATATTCTTAAGTGTTTTGAACAGTTATAAGTAATCTGACATATATGTATATCTGATGTACTAGTATCAAGCTACACCTAAAACGCACAGATACATGCCAGTAACGTACGTATCCAAGTTATACTAAGTATAAACAACGTCGATATCTATGAGCCAAGTGGTCATTCCTACATTTACTCAGGTGACGTGTTTTTGGCACACTGAATGATCGATTGGGTGACTCATATTTTACGTCACGTGTTTGCATTCTGTAAATTAAGGGAAAGAGCTGTCAGAAGCCATACATATTATTATGGTGTTTTTTTGCTGAAATACACCCTCATTTTCTGTATACTACAGATATTATCATTCATATCATGTACTATATCACCTGATCTGCCTGTGTACCACGTTCATACATACATTCACGTGAGCTGTGTTCATGACGTCGCTCAAAATCTACGCACGTTGTATTGTAATAATAATAATAATATTAATAATCTTTATTGTAATCGTATCCTTATTAGGATCTTGACAAAAGTGTACAATAAAGTATAGAGAAAAAAAAAAAAGAAGTAAAATAAAAAAATAACATTAAACACATTAAATAAAATTAAAATACATGTAACTATTTAGATTTTGAGGCAGATGACATACTGTTTTTTTTAATATTTTCTTCTCTCAGATTGAAACAGTTGTAAATATATTTAGACAGTTCTATTATAATTGACTCATCATCACTAGTCATTATGGCTATCATTTTTTCTTCATTTGATGTAATATTATTAAGATGTTTTGTCATGGTAATTAGGGGTTCTCTCACATTTGTGTAGAGTTTACATTTGAGCAGGAAGTGTTCTTCATCCTCTATTTCATTTTCATCACAGACTGGACATTTTCTGTCACTTATTTCTACATTACTGTATCTTCCCATTTCAATCTGCAAAACATGTGCACTTAGTCTAAATTTTGATAATGAAGATCGATGATGCGGGTTTTTTATTATGTCTAAGTATTTTTCAAATGTAAAGTCCTTTTTTAGCTGCCTATAGGTACGAAGTTTATTTTTGTGGTTGATGCCTTTATTATCGTTGTTTAGAGTGTTCCTGGCTTGTTGTATTACTAGTAACACTGTTTATTTACAATCCCTGCGCCATCAATAATTGAGTTGTGCGCCCTCATCGTTTTTAACCTCTACCAAGCATTCCCCAATTGCAATCAAATTCTTTGGAGTAACAATTTGATAATTTTACCCATTGTCATTTCAGTATTTATGGAAATGTGTTGTATGAACCTAATTCTGTAAGAAAATCCCTAATCTTCTAATACTGACTACAAAATAACTTCGTGGTAATAATTGTCTCCGAACTTGTGATAAACACTAAAAGATGGCAGACGATGGCGATCCGTGGAACGACAGCTCCGCCGAAGAAACTGTACCTGTGCAGCTTAACTTTGAAGACACGTTTGATCCTTTTGATAGATTGAACACTATAAACAACACTGCAACAACTTGCAAAGACACGACTAACGCTGCCGACCTGGAATCAGAGAAGTACTTACTGTCACTGGGTAAGACGGGTGGGCGGTTGCTAAAGACTTCAGAAAATCTACCCAGACTTGATCACTTAAATAATTCATGTACAGTTACATTGTCGCCCTAGTGTGCGAATACTAATGTTTTAGAATGCTTCATTGTTAACAGATAATTGTTTTGTATATCTAATGTATTTTAAAATAAATATTCGCTAAATGTTCGTGGTAGCAAGTGCTTGAAGACTGAAGATAGCAGATTCGACTGAAGCTAGCAGACACTCCGAACAGAGTAGAAGCTAGCAAACGCAGTAGCAGCCACTGCAATCAGGCATAAAAATGCTTTGAATCACTGTTTATCATATCCTTTTTAATCATGTAATCATGGTTTGACCTCAATATATTAATTTAATTGGATAATTTTCATTTTAACAGAGCATTTCTAACAAAAATTGTCACTCCCCCTGAAAGGGTATTTCTATGTGCGTGTATATAATATACACACTATTCTTAATATTTTGTTGAAACTGTTGAGTGTGCAACTATACCAGAGATGTGGTATGAAACACAATTTCCTGACAATTATTTCAAAATTACGCTTCTCATTATACCTGATAAATCACCTTTTTTATTAATAAAAATATTGAGTGTGCAGGAGTAACACGTTTACAATCGATTTCAGAATTCAAATTATGAATTTTAAAATGTTTTGGATAAACTCCTCAAAGCAGTTGAACTACTTTATTTATTTTACGTGTAAGGCTTTTCAACACTGACAACTTCAGGCTTCATTTCAGCAGTTGATATAAATAAAGCTTTAACTTTTATTTTATAGAAGCAAAGCTGAGAAAACTACAAGGCAAGGCTCAGAGTCCCAATGCCAAGGATATGTTGAAGATTCTACACAATGCCAAGGAAGATCATCTTGGTCACATAATAAATGAGAATGCGAGCGTGCAGAGTTATCCCACGTTGGCGATAGATGACGACAAAGTCAAGACACCCTCAGTGAAGAGAAAAGTGTTTCCGGAACAGCCCCTCACGATGGAAGAAGTCCAGTGTCTATTGGAACGGGACCACCTTAATAACGTCACGCAAGGTATGCACCATGAGGATCCCTGCAAAGATTTATGAGTTGAGAAATTAATATATACACAGATGGTGCTTTTTATCTGCCAGAAGCAAGTTAGATATACATTTGTTATTTATTTTTTTGTTCACTGTGCAATCATGTTTGCAATTGTTAAGCTGTGTACCAGTAGTGGAGTATCTCTGAAGCACATAAACTGTCACATTGATTAAGTTATATACCGATAGCTTAGTCTTAGCTTTATTTTGATGAGTTTTTGTGCCAACATTACTGACTGGAAGAGTGACATGTTTACCGAAAATTTGCCATCCATCTGAATAACCTTAACAAAGAGGATGATACTTGAGAAAACGATTTTAACAGTTTTGAATTATGTGTTCAAATTCAGAACTTATTATAGAACACAATTGTCATATTTTTATACAAGTTATCCTAAAATTGGTCAATTTATTTCATAATAGTACCATATGGTATGTTAATACATTGAGTACTATAATTTTGTCAAACATGGTCGAAAGTTAAATGCTGCCACCTCTGGTAACAATAAAAAAAATGGAATAAAATGATTTTCAAAACAGAAATTTTAGGAGCAAATTCATCTCTAGACTAGATGCCATCTAATATTGTGAAACTTTGAAAAATCAATGAATAATAGACTAGTGAATCAGGCTGGAAGGATGTAGACAGCCCTTACTTACAGGTCAGTGTGCGAGTTTCCATGGTCATGCCAATCAGTGATGACACTGTCACAGAATTCTGTGTCATCTACATATTTACTTACCGATTCACCAGCCATTCTTGATGAGGGTACTCTGAATGGCTGGATTCCAGGCTAAATCATCTCTTGTGAAAGGTTAAAAAAAATGTGTTATGCAACGGTACACAGGAGACATTGTATGTCTGACTCCACAATATTAGATTTATTGAATAAGTGTAGTAATTTTCATGTTACGATCATTGACAAGGAACAAATGAAAACTAAAATCATGTCCACATATTTTCAATAGAATAGTACAATACGATTTGCCCATCAAACATTTACAATGTTGTGATTTCTTAGTTTTATTTCGCAACCATCAACAGTATTTATATATATGATACATATTCAGAAGCTATTGGGTACTGGTAGGGCTCCTGTCTGTTTCTTCGCTTCGCTACCAAAAATAGACTCCAGTACATTTGCTATACAATTCATCTGTGCTCCAAAATTGAACGTGGCACATTGATTGGTCACATTTATTCATGTCATTCAAATGCCCTTATTTGCATAAGTTACCGCAAGTCAACAAAACCTCAATTGGCGCCATCCGGCAAAGCGAGTCTCACAAATCTGTCTATTTTTATCTTGAATATACCAGACAAATGAGCTGAAAGTTTAACATTGGCGGGGTGGAAAGTTTGTTTTTGTTTGAATGTCTGTTAAGTATGTTACGCTGTTTGGTGAATGTGCTTGGCCAAACTGGTGACTTCAGTGCACCTCATTTGGCTCTGAGTCAGAATACCTACATTGTTTAATGTATGTGTCAAGATATCACGCCATCCAAGAATGTTTGAATCATTTTCCCCAAACTTTCAGGTTGTCTCTTGCAGCCTCGGAAAAAACAATTCTCGTTTCTGTCCACAATAACTCTATCCAAAGTAAAAAGTTGTTTGATGCGTGTTTTGATGACTTAGGATAGTTTTGGGTCTATTGAATACATGCAAGTTGCATAAACAAATGCAAAACTAGTCATCAGGAGATGTACTGATAATCTTTCTAGGATTCAGTAAATTTGTTTGAAGTTGCTATTTCGGAGTGTGCATTTTTGTTGCAATCGCGTCAAGATTATAATGCAACTTTTATTAGTTTTTTTTGATGCGACAAAGTACCGCACACCAAACCCATTCGACTCTTGATGAGAAATCATCCCATCGCTGATAAAGGTGCCGTTGGATGATATTTTACTCAATAAAAAGACTCTGGTTTCAAGATGTTTTCTGTTCTACCAACTCAATAAACTGAACACAGCTATAGTAGTTGTACTCTGATTAAAGACGACTTTGTAAATGCAACAGCAAGAGTGAACAGCAATATGGGCATGTAATTTACAGTATTAATTATTTGAGTGGGTGACCTTTGGTACTGACATTATGTCTTACATAATTGAGTATTTTTTAAAGGCTAAAGGTTGTATTATGCAAATGTTAGTGGGTGGAACAGGAATCATAGCTAATGCACTGGTCTATTTCAGATATGGATGGAGGAAGCTGGTGTAAGGCTTCATTGGCACTGATCAAATTTTAAATCTAGATGTTTATTCTCATTGATCGTTTTTGTTTAGATCCAAATGCAAGCAGGTATTTGGAATTCCTGTAAATTTGGTTCTGGTATACCAGTACTATAGAATTCCCATGCACTGTTGTATGTTGTGGCATACTGGGGTGATTAAATAATATTTTATACTGAGGCCAAAACATATTTTTTTTTGCTATTTTGCATAATGTATACATATGGTACAATGAGGAAATATTTTTTATTTTGTTGCTCTAAATTAACCTTGAATGCATGTATTTGAACGTATTATTTAAAAATTGTTAAATGGTAAACGTGTATCATGTTGTGGTATTAAAAAAGCATTTTTTTTGGCAAAGTATTGATCATTCTCATCTTTATTGTGGTCTTGTGATATCTTTAAGATGATCGTTTCGTACATATGGTAATTATTTGAAAAAAAGCTATCCATATAGGGATAATTGGTTGTATTTTCAATATGTGAAAATGTCATTTTGTACTTTCTAATTTAATGGTCAAAATAAAGTTATTTGACTCTTGAACTAATCTCTTTCTGTCATTATTATGAACTATTCCACTAATAAAAACTAAATGCAATCATTCGCCTCCTTTAAATTTACGATTTCCAAAAGTCGTCGACAGAGGGCGCTGTTCGTTTAATTTACCGGTAACATCCTCAGGCGTGATAAACTCAACCTCAATTGTAAATAAAATAGAACATTGCACTGTGAAGTTTAAAATATAGAGTAATTACACATTCTCACCTGAGAGTCTGACCAGTTGCAATAGCAGACACATGCAGGCCTAATGTGAATATAGCTTTCAAAAAAAATATTCAAAAATTTACACACAGAGCTATGCCTTCCCTGTCATCTTACTAGCAAGGGGATTTATTTAATCAGCAATGTAGAATTGTACTGTTTGGATACTGTAGACTACTTATTTTTTTACCTAGATTTTAACTGCCTGCTGATGCTGGTTTTCCCCCCATTCATTTCGGCTACTTTGAAGGCTTTCAGCAGGTAATTTGTTAATGTGGTGAAAGTCCATATCTGTGTTGTTAGCACCTATCGGGAATCCACATAAATGAAATTATCCCACACATCAGAAATACTGTTTCCAGTGAAAATAAAGCATTCTTCAGAATTTATCCATAATGCTATCTAGATTCAAATACTTGTAACAATACGTTTCTCGACTTAAAAGTATTTATTTTGACAAGCTGGTTCTATGTAATTGTTTTCCTGTCTTTGAAATCTTGAATGCTTTTAACCCCGTCTACACTTACCAGTGTAGTCCCTTGTCGTATTTGACATGATAGCATTCATGCAAACCTGACAGATAGATTACACCTCATCCGTCATCCAAAACACAGAAGAAAGTAATCAGTTCTTTGATCCGTGAGTGATTTATCATCAATAATTAGAAAAGAAAAACCCAATCTGACAGGCCTGTAGTAGAGGACATCATGCTCTGGATGAATTATTACCCGTCTTTTATTGACAAATGAAAGTCAACACAGACATACCCATCGTCTCATTGTACAAGCAGAATGAGTATTATTGTATAACATGCCCGGCATATTTCTACCTTCGTCCTGGCTTCAGAAATGTACCTATAACAATGGTGGGTATGTCGATAGCACTCTTTGATACTACTGTCATACCCCCAAAACTACTTGGTGTGTGTCGTTTTACTCGACAGTCAGTCTGCCTACTGGTTCAAGTGTTAGAAGGGGTATTGTTGTTGCAGTCATCGTGTTATCCTATTGCTAATTATGAGATTGTTTATTACCCAATAACTGCATTGTTCCTCCATTCGTGGAACTGAAACCCATGGATCAGGTTGCAGTATCAAAATCCCTCATGTTTACATAGTACACCCCATCGCTTGTATACACAACACTAGTGGGGGGGGATGGATACAATTAAATCTACCCAATCTCTATCCGTAAATTCCTCATGAACTCGTGAAAGTATCCTATGAAACGATCTCTGACTTTTACTGCTCTCTGGTTCATCCAATCAAACTGTACACAATATGTTTTTTATGAAAAAAACAAACATGCTTAGAATTTATTATTTTCAAGTCAGTCGGCATATGTAATATGTCTGTTTTCACTTGATTTCAGAGCCAGTGCCCCTCCACTCTACGTATAATAAGAGGTCGATGACCCAGAGTTGAGCATCCTATGTTTGCTATATGGAGGCTTTGAACCAGTGTCTAATATGATTCAGTCTGTTAATAACATGTAATTATTTGCATGGGGAGGAGAAACTACACTGATGCCCGCTTTATGTGTACGAGACATTTCAATCCCCGGGAGTTCAGAGATCTGAGCTGAGAATTGCCACACTCGATAACGTTTTGTTTCTCTATTTATGCAGCATCTGTCATCCAGACAATAAACACACATTGCTTTCTATTGGCGCTGGCCTTCAGTTGTACATTCATATATAAAATAATATTTGATCAAGATAACATATGTGAACTTAAAATGAACGCATGAAAATAATATCCTACATGCTTTTAAAATACAGATATTCTCGCCAATTTTTGCACATATGGCAACTCTGATTCGATACACCGGTGTGCGAATTTTATTAAAAAAATGTTTAAAAATTGTCCCTGCTGTGTGAGTTTAGCATTCCAGACTGTTAACTGTTAAAACGTCCATTGGTAGCATATTTAACTGTGAAGCAATATTTTTCTTTGATACATCTGCTATGTTTTTGTACATGCTCGTACGTACACCCCCAACGTGGTTGAATTATTTTAGCATAACACATAGGTTAATGTTAATCTCTTGCTCATTTAATTATTGAGATTCTATTAGAATTGATGATGCTGATCTTGAATACCACCCACCATAGGACGAGATTTGATTCGTTCCATCTATACTTATTAGCAATCCATCTGATGAATAGTTGAAATTTAAGAGTGGCTTAATCAGTAGTTTGACCTAGCGGGGGATGATATTGAATTTGAG